GTCCTATGCCTTGCTCTGTGGCCGTTGGCCAAGTTGTTTGGTAATTCAGGTCGTAGGGGGAGCCAAAGCTCGCTTTTGGTATTTTGGTAAACTTTCCCTTCCGCAGACGTCCTGGAACTACGCAAAGATCAACTGAATGAAGCTCCGCTGTGAATGCAAGCAGATTGGAAACGCCTAACTAATGGAATTATTTACTATTTATATGTACGATATGTACGATTTGTCTTCGAATAGGGGGTTATACCCAGTAATAAACCCAAATTGGGTATGGTGTATGACTTGGGGATGCACAACAATAGTCACCATCCCCACTAGTAGTGGTCTCTGGACTTGGGTATATCCCTACTTTGACCCCTACTACATCCCAAGATTTGGGAAGCTCTGGTGATCCATCATGGTTGAACATCAATGTTTTTGCGATGATATTCTATGTTTCTCCTTTCAAAAAATGATTTTCGACAATATTACCTATTATGATATTGCTAATCTTCTAGATCTTACCATAGGCCCTAGGACCCCTAGGCTGCAACCAGGATCAATCTCACTCCGCGATGGTCCAGCATTTTTTGTAGTTAAACTGCAATGTTCCACCAGGCCTAATTTTGGTTTATTCAGTCTAAATCATTCATGTTGCATCATTTTACATCAACTTCTCATTGTTTAAAACCAATATTCATTGTCAAAACCACCATGATGACTCATGTTCATCCATTTTCGCCACTTGTTCATTGTTTGAACCCCATTTTCCCTGGCCAATCCCGCTTGAAAAACACACCTCATTTCGCGCCACGGATCAGGTGACCTTGCCTGGGGCCTCAGCCGGAGGATTCACCCAGGGTACCATGTGGGGCCCCCGTGGCCACGAAACCGCATTCAGTTGGGGTTCACATACCTCCAGTAGCTATGGTTTATACGCAAATAACATTGCAAATAGAATCTTATGACTATAGTATTCTTAGGGGTTATAAACCAATTTATAACGTTTGGGGGGACCAACTGTCATCTTGGGCAGCTGGTGGTAGTTTGGAGTTTTCGGTTGAGATACAACACAGTAGTCGATGGCCAGGACCTATTAAGTGGAGCGCTTTGAGTTCGGCACAGCAGTCAAGGTCTAGGAGGTTGATGTCTATTTTGAAAGCAGCGTTTCATGAGAATCCACGTTGTGTTGCACTGGTGAATGCCTTTAGTGAGGGAGTAGCTTTGCATGCTGTAGGACAAGGTGATAGGATGTCGGTTGCAGTGAATCAACAGTCAAACGGATACGAGCTACTGAGACAACTCACGTTGGAGTTTTCGATCAGGTCGCGGTCAGAAGCCTTGTCACTTAGGACTCAGATCGCAGGACGTTCGTTTGTTTTGCCTGCAGCTCAGACTTCTCCAAGTTCTCTGGTGAGTGATGTCATCAGGAAGATCGACTTCGAGGCAGCCAGGTTTTCTCGTCTCTTGGGTACATTTCCCATGCATGTGGACACAACGGGGTTGAAACTAGCGGATTCGGACATGTTGGTTGTATTGTTGAGAAGTCTTCCAGAGGCTGTCAAGAACTACATACTTCACCATAGTAGTGCAGATACGTATGAAGCATATAGAAATGCCGCTATGAGATGGGAAGAGCAGCACCTGTTGTTCAATGACTTCGAGGTGAGTGGAAAGAAGGTGAACAATCTCTCTCTGGAGAGCGGCACAGGTGGGAGTGTGGAATATTACTCCTTTGACAGTGATTGGAACGCCTCGACACAGTGACTGGAGACCGTTGTACAAAGTGTGGTAGTAGAAAGCATGGTACTGGGTCTTGCACTGTGGACCTTAGCAGGTTGAAGTGTTTTCGTTGTGGTAAACTTGGACATATTAGTCAGAATTGTCCTACTCGTCCAGAACAAAATGGAAAAGGAAAAGGTGGTGAGAAAGGAAAACAGGGACTTGTGAAGTCCGACATGCGGGACGAGAAGGGTTCCAAAGGCGGAAAAGTCTCTAAAGGTAGCAAAGGTGGAAAAGGAAAGAAAGGCAAGTTGAATGAAGTTGCAGAGAGTTGGACTGAGGATTGGCAATCTAACGTTCGAACTATGGAAAAGTGGAAGGGACCTCTCGACAAGTTCATCACGTCGGTTCTGTCTGGATTGGTCAAGTACTCCTTCCAGATACAAAGAAAATGGGCAGGGACGATGTTGGGTCAGGGTAAAGTGGGGATCTTACTTCCTTTACTCATTTGACAGCAGGCTGCAAATGCACTTCTACCTCCAAAAAAGGAATAGTCCCAAACCAATGCATGCGGTTGATAGCTCGTCCAAGAAAGTTTTAGTACACCCCCCTGGGTGAATGTGAACATTTACCACTGGTAGTGAGATGAATCCATTTAGTTCTGTTTGCTTCCCCTCGCAGAGTTTCAGGAACTCCCACCACGCCAACAGGAGAGGATGAACAAAGGAGAGGATGCCTTTCTCATCCTTGGAAATGGGATGGTGAGTTACAGATATGTGCTCACAATGAGGGACCTTGAGAACAGAATCTGGGTCTTTACAGGACCCCAATCTCAGCAAGACTGCATGGTGGTGCGCTTGGTTCCAAAGGAGACCCTTGTCATGCGGCTCACTGCTGCTGAAGAGGTGCATGGGGATTCTCTCCAGCACTGGGTGAGGTTCAAAGTGTCTTACCTCACCACAGGGCGGCCGTTGAAGGAAAACGGGTGGGTGCTGCCGTCACGGACCGAATCTATTTGAGATCCATTGCCGATCTGGTCCTGCATGAATTGGATCAACAGGACAAAGGAGGCCCGCACGTGGAGCTCAAGTTCGTGGGCAGAAGTCCTACCTTTGTTTGCACGATGCGATACAGCTTTTACTGGAGATGGTGAAACCCTACAACGATATGTTTTCCATCTCCTTCACCTTTAGTTGCACTATCTGATGCAGCTATTACTGGAAATGACGAAACCTGTGAACGAGACGTTTTTCATTTCTTTGTCGTTTTGACACCGGGAGGTGCAATTTATGCTTTGGATGGTGAAATGCACAACAAGAGATTTCACATCTACTTTAGTTGCATGGAGAATGCGATACAGCTTTGAATGTGTGGAATGAAATGGAAAATCGATACATTTTCCATCTCCTTCATTCGTTTTGGCGACAGAGAATTCAGTTTGAACTTGTGGAAGTTTAGTATGTCTCTCGATGATGAAAGAATTGTGCAACGTTCTGAATTCTGAAGGCATTCAGAACTTGAGTTGCCAACAAATCTGAGGGAGACATCATGAAAGAGAACTTTACGTCTGCTGAGTTTTTATTTGGAAACCCGAAGACAACACGTTTTTGGATGAGAACGTTGGTGTTTGAAATGTTTCCACGTTTTTCAAACACTCAAACATGCTTAAACAAACAAACCATGTCTTGATGTAAAGATTTCTAGAGTTGACATGCGTTTTTTGTGAGTCTTTGTGAACGTTGACATAAGGATGTCAACATGCGGCATTCATCCGCATCTTTTTTGTGTCAAGGAAGTGACACGTCAACAGAAAGAGACAAAGCAAGAGGTGCTGAGACACGTTTCTTCGCTTGTGTGCTGTAAAAATGGCTGAGCTCTGGGATCGACTGACTTGGTTTGTGTGAACCGTTTTGTTTCTTAAGGACGGCGTCCTTGTTGCTGACCCAGGCAGGTCTAGAGGTTTTTGAAGGTTGCTACCTTCTACATGGTAGCGGAGCTGACTGTTTGCAGCTCTTAGAGGTGTAGCAGGTATGGATCCAGGGAGCCAAGGTGTACAAGGTTGTCCTAGTCCAGGTATGGCTGAAAGAGGTGAGGGAAGTGGTGGTTGTAGCAGTGGTTTGCCACCTGTGCCTGGAACACCTAGTCATCATAGTAGACAAAGCGCAGTAGGGTCGCAAAGGTCTGGGATGGAAGGACAAACACCAGAAGGAAATGCCCCGCCTGGGTTTCAAAGTGCAATGACTCAGCAGCAGCCACAGCAACAACAAGCGAATGCACAAGCTTTTGCGAGCACGACAAACCTGAATGCAGGAATACAACAAGGTCAAGCTTGCCCGCAGGTATGCCAACAAGGTAACATGCCAGGAATGCAAAGTATGCAACAAGGACCAGCTTGGTTTGGTGCGCAATGGATTCCCCAACAGCAGCAGCAACAACCGTTTATGCAGCAGCAACAGCCAGCAGAGCAAGGGCGTGCAGCGTATGGTTGTGTGCCTGGTTTTGGTTGTGCGAACGTGCCCGGTGGACTGAGGCCATGTGGTTTTCCAAACTTAGGAGTGAACCCTGTGAATTACCAAGGAAACATGTGTAGTGGCAGTGTTGGAGCGACTTTGGGAGGTTTGACTCCACAAGCAGCGCAGATCCAAGAGGTCATGGACATGTTAAGTTGTTTGAACGAAGGACAGTTGCAAGCGGTTCAACAACAGATGCAGGATCGTTTTGTGACCTTGCAGCAGCGTAGAGGGGTTCCAGAAGTTTTTGGAGATGGTCTTGGTAGGGCAGCTGACTCGTCGTTTGTGACTCCGCAGCCGTTTGATGTTTTGCCTGGTTTTGGTGTTCAACAGTCGAACAACCATGGAAACCAACAACAACTTGATGTTTTTGCAAAGAGTGAGAAGTGGCTCACACCAGCACCGACGCCGGTCGGCACGTGGAAAACTAGAGAAGAGGAAGTCCTGGGATGGGCTGGATACCTGCCCCACATTGTATATATGGAAGTTTACATAGATGGGTGGTTTATTTTGCGGAAAATCTGATAAAACACTGATGATTTAAGGGTACCACCATTTTAGGAAACCACAACAATTGGCTTATGTGAGGGCTAAATTTCAGGAAATATCCCACACAAATATGGCCAAAACCATGAACAGTTGTGGTTTGAGCATCAACAATGGGGATTCACCACAAGGAATTATTGATATGGACATGGAGGGGGATACTCCCACGCACGATTCGACATGGTCTCAGCTCAAAGCTTGGCTTTAGCTGGCAAAAAAATAATCCAATGTGATATTGGGTTTTTACAACCAACAATGTGGGTCTGTTTGAGAATTGGGTATATCCCTAAAATGGCAACTTAGTAGGGAAAATGATGATAAACCAGTTGATTCAGGTGCAATTTCAGAGAATATATTCTTAATTCTAACTTGTTCTTAAGGTACTTGCGGCAAAACATTACACATACAATCAGAATGTACATCTTTTTCCTTGGATGATCATGCAACACACGTATCTACAGATTGTTTTTGTTCAAGAGCAATAATTCCTACAAGGTGAGGGCCCCCCAAACATGACGTTTGTTGCTTTGTGGCTTACCCCATGAACAGCATAGTTATATGATCCGAATCAACCACAGTTAAGCAAGTTATAGGTCACCGTAATAGTACAGTTTTATGATGTTATATGATCCTAGTTACCCTCTGGTAAACTAGCATACCTATGGAAAGATCCACCATTTTCAATGGGAAAATCCACTATTTCTATGGCCATGTACATAACCAGAGGGTAACCACAGCTCACCAGTGGATTTACCCATTGAAAATGGTGGATCTTTCCATCGTTTTTTGTAGCTTTACCAGAGGGTATATGATGTTATATGATCCTAGTTAACCACAGTTAAATCATATGTAGGTTTAACCAAGTTACACCAGGTCCTAGTTAACCACAGTTAAACTCTGGTTATCCACAGTTAAATCATATGTAGGTATATGATGTTGTACGGTTATATGATGTTCACCAAGTTAACCAGGTCAAATTCTCTGACCTCACCTGGTTGAGATTGCTGATGCCTCCAGTTTTTTGCACCATCGGATGCCCCATTCGTTGGAATTCCATGTTTTTACGAGTCAGGCAACGAATAGCATCTAAATGAGGGGATAAATGGATAAATGGTGATAAATGTTGATAAGATGTTCCAGATTTTGAAAGTTAATCCAAGTACTAGTTGCATCTAATTATAATGAAGTGGAAGTGAATACTTGACTGGCTGGTGGTTTCAAACTTGTTTTTCCATTTCATATATGGGATCATCCACCAACCATTGATGTTCACTCCATCATTTTTCAAGATGGTGAAATTGCACCACCAACCAGTTATTCATCATAATTATCCATCATAACTATGGAAAATCACAATTTTCAATGGGGTTATACTACCAGCTATCTGGGGTTATTGCACCACCAACCAGCAATCATATATAAAAAGGAAGAAATCCTGGTGCTTTCCCACGGAGCTTTCCTGGGTACCACGGTGCCACGTGTCGGGACGATCCATGCCGTTTGGCGTGGCCAGGGACCGAAAGTCCTTCGGTGTCAAGTGGGGGCTCCAACTGGCGATTTGGCGAGAAACAGGCGCACCTGGTTGGTTGGTTGTTGATCCAAACAAAGTCCGAAAAGACATACCCTCCGGTAAACTAACATAGCTATTGAAAATGGGCATTTAGTTCGTTGAATTAGCATGAACTAGCCATAAAAAATTGTGTTTTCCATAGCAAACTGTTAGTTTACTGGAGGGTAGTTAAGTTATCACATGTTATCAATGGCCATGCAACAGGAACCGATTGATTAGAGGTACCACATATAAGGCCGAAAAAATAAGGCCTATGTAAGGGAATATCCCCGCAAAATATGGTCTTATATGGTACAGTACCTCTATTTTAGGATCCTGAAATTCCCATTGATAAACTATACTTAAGACTTTACTTATCTTATGGTTTACAGGGATACATATATATATAATATATATATATATATGAGTATGTTTAAGTTGAACTAGCTTAGTTATGGCTAGTGAAGATAATTAACTTGTGGCTTATGGGGAGTATAACTATAATTAAGTATACTTATTTAATGGTGGGTAATAGACCAAGTTATTTTTGAGGCCTAAGTTTACCGCACTTCGAAGTTGGTTTCTTCTATGGAGGCTCCACTTTGTAGCAGGGAACACTGCTCAAAGACACGTTGGCAGATGTTTTTTTAACCCTTAGGTAATCGAACATGGCTGGCTATAGGAAATCCAGTGTAAATGGATGGTTCTAGCTGCCAAATTCATCCAGAATATGTACCGTATATAGAGAGAAAGAGACAGAGTGGATTTCCCATTGTCAAGTTTGATAACGGGGGGTAGGGAGTGTTTGAACTCCGTGGGTGGTACCTTTCGCGCTGGCAAATGAGGTTTGAACATATTTAAAGATATTTAAAGGGTGATAGGCTGTGTAAGAGATTCCTAGTATTGCTTCAGTCGTTACGCAAACAGAAGCTGAAGGGCAATCTTATGATCAAAAAAAGGAAACACCCCTGGCAAAATGAAGAAATGCGCACCTGTTTTGCTTGGGTTTTCATGTTGGTAATCTTGGGAGGTGCACAGGCATTGGTTCAATTCGATGAAGACACAACGAACAACGGCAAATTGGGGTGTGGTTATTGTTCCGGATCCGACATCATTGCTGAAACCAGGGGATAGTGCCATTCAGGATGGTCGTTTGATGAGCTGAGCAACATACAATGATCTTAGCACCAGCCATGATAGATAATGAACAGGATTCGCAAAAATGTTGCTTCAGGTTTGTGACATACGATATGCTTGCAGGAGTTTTTTTTGGCAAATGAGTTGATTCAAGATTTTCACACCCAAACTCCAATTTTGACTCCAATATATTGTTGATGTGTTTGAAGGCTTTGCGTTGCAGCACCTCATTTTCGGTCAAATACTTGCAAGATGGTGCTTATAGTCACTTAATTTGGTTTACGGCCAGGCTGGGTATGGCTCGAATTGGGTGCAATCAGTCATTTGCGTATCATAAATCATAGTGACATTGGAGTTATGTTCACCAACTAAATGCGATTTCGTGGCCACGGGGGCCCCACATCAACTATAAGAACGGCATGTATCCACCAATTTTGGTCTGGTTAGCCGCATCCGCTGGTTAACCAATTGGATCCCAAGATTGTGGATGCCCTAGTCATATCGAATCTGTAGAGGCGGCTGAAGAGGCTGATGATTAATTGCAGAATTATTTGCTAGCATAGATATGTTGATATACTTATTCTAGACATACACGGTGGATATTATATATATACTTGTATGTGTATGTATATATATATATAAAATTCCCTATAATTGTGGAGCAGCATTTTGTGGTGATGGCCCTGGGTAAATTATAGCGATGCAACGCCGGCATTTGTAAAGATAGGGTTTGGCAAAGGAAACCACATCAAAATGTGTTTGCTTTATAGAATCGTATTGTCTCTTTGCATGGGTTGACACCACAAACATTGTGACAGTATACATACTGGCTGCAGTTGCCCCAACTTGAGTTTTATATAAACTGTTTCATCTGCACTATAGAGCAGTTTTGTAGCAAGTCATTTAATCACAATGTGTCTTCCGTCTTTGGAGTGGGTACTCCAACCACCTAAGAAACATTACGAAATCATATTTACTGGAAGGCCAATGTTTTTTTGCTACATCAACATATTTCAGCGACTTTGGTGGGGGACAATTCTTACCGAATACTTGTTGGTTGATCCAACCAGACGTCTGACATGTATCCTGGAACACGACAACTTTGACATGTCAATTTGTAACAAGAGTTTTGACATTTCAATTTGACATTAATGTAGGTGAAACAATAATAATCCAGCCCATTTTTGATGGTTTACACCATCCATTTATGGTGATTTTGGGGATGGTTTATGATTGTTTTAACCACATTACAAGGGTTTCCCTTCCCAAACAGGGGCATCCCCAAACAAATTGGTTGCATAATTTTCAGCAGTGTCTTTCCTTGGGAAGCCGAGTTGATTTATGGGAAGCCGAGGACCCATATGGACCCCAGAAAAAGTTCACTGGATTGGTTTTGTTGGGAAAATCTTCACCGGAAACCCATCAGTTTTCCCCATGAAATATAGGGGGTTTGTATGTATATTTTCCCTTAAACTAATCCAGTGAAGAGTTTAGCACCTTAGTTTCCCATTTTTTTCATGGCCAGGGTAATCACTACTGAGGATTCTTTAATCACCCAGGTCCTGACAAACCCCCAAAAATTGGTCGTTTCTCATTGTCGCCAATTACCCTCTGGTAAACCTACAAAAAACTATGGAAAATCACCATTTTTAATGGGTAAATCCACTATTTCTATGGCCATTTTCAATAGCTATGTTAGTTTACCAGAGGGTAATGCCCATTATCCCATCCAAAACATCCACATCTGGTTGGTGGTTCACATAGTTTTTGTCCATTTCATGTATGGAATAATCCACCACCCATTGACTTTCACTCCATCATTTTTCAAGATGGTTATTGCACCACCAACCAGTTATTCATCATAATTATCCATCATAACTATGGAAAATCACAATTTTCAATGGGGTTATACTACCAGTTATATGGGGTTATTGCACCGCCAAAAAAAACATGGCCATTTCTAACGCAGCCCACTCTAGCAGCCCACTCCACGGCCTAAATCCAGCGGTTTAATCCATGTTGATTTTGCTGCCAGGAGTTTTCACCGTATTGAGCCTTGGTGAAGTGAACTACTTGCGGTATGTTGATGGATGCTAGGTCAATCTTACATGGGTACTTTAATCCTCACTAGTCTTTTGGTATTAATTGGAATATCTACTAAACAGCAAAGAATTTATTTTTTGGAGGGTATCTAAGATTGGCAATGGATGTTGCCATTCCAAATATTCCAAACAATGCTGCAAAGCCCTGAAAACTGAATGCTGCAAAACATTCAGAGAAGTGCTGCAAAGCATTTCCATCGTCACCATGCTTTCTTTGGTGTTTGATTATGATTAGTTTAATTTTATACGAACTATAACTACGTAAGTACAACCAACAAATTTGCAGTGATGAAGGTGCATGTATGCATTAGGGACACTAATGAATGTGGGAATGGGAGGGAGGGGGCAGGACAGAACATTTAAACACAATCTTTCTACAAACACATTGATGCCCCTTGTTTTGACCAATCTTGCAACATGGTTCAACACTTGTTTTCTCATCATTTAACTTTTGCATCAAGACTTCAATAAACTGGGGACACCAACCATGGCAACAATAATGCTGCAAAGCAGTCAGTCTATTAGACATTTAGAATACTTAGCACCGATAATGGTCCTGCGTTGCCAAGCACCTGGTGCAAAAAGAACCAACCAGATTCCAGTTCTATGTGTTTGTAGAGTTCACCTATTCAACATGTATTCATTTTTGGGACCAAACAACAAATCATTCAATTCAGGACATCCGACATCAGAGGTGTGAAACAGTATATTGATTTTCAGATATTATGTGCCAGATAGTGCCCGGCCCATGCTGGGGCGGAAGTTTTGAAAAAATGAAAGGCTATTTGTAACCGTTTATCGCCAAAAAAAAATGGTAATCCGGGTTTTAACGTTTTTTTTTAGTTTCCATCAGCTGAGGCAGGTTCGCCAGTTCTCTCCTGTGGAAGAATGGAATTGCGTAGTGCCACTGTCACTTGGGCAGCAATCTGGTGGGTCCGGTTGCCAGCATTCTCTCGACGAACATCGCGGAGACATCGGTCACAATTCGCAACACTTTTAATATGTTTTTACCTTTTTATTTTTATCTTTACGCCAAAGACAGCCAAAACGAAAAGGGTTTGAGAAAAAAATCCCTTTGGCAATTGGCAGGGAAATTTCTAGAGGCAAAGCGAGGAAAAATAGCCAATACGTTAAAACATGGAAACGCATGAGAAAAACAAAAAAAAGGGAAATGAAAAACAACAAACAAATAAAACAAACACAATTTCCAGTCCATGGTTGCCTGAGATGAACATAAATTTTAGCCCTCTGTGTCGTACGCAGGGCACTATTGTTTTGTTGCAAGTATGAACACATCTGTAGTTATGCAATACGCAACATGTAAAAAAATCCTCCGGTAAAACAAACATCAAGTGAACACGGTGGGGAAAAGTGTTCACCTGCTCCGCGGTTCTTCAGCACGTCAGAAATGCTCCACATGAATGTTGAAGAGGAACATGTTTGGATTCCACGCATCTGGATTGTAGGTTGCCACCATTTTTTTCTTTTGTTTCGAAACTTCGGGTTTCGGATTTAGGGTTTGCCACCCCAAAATATGTTACAATCGATTTTCCAGGATTTTAAGTATACAGATATATCCAGGGCTAACATTTAGGCCGACTTGGGTTTATATGCTGCGCAGGATGTATCCCTAGATGTAGTACACAATACACATGTATAGACTGTATAGATAAATAGAGGTTTCCTAAAATGGGGTACCCCAAAAATTGATGGTTTATGATGGAAAATCTTATTAAATATGGATGATTTGGAGGTACCCCTATTTTAGGAAACCCCCAAACATGTGTTTTATTTTCAGTCTGGTTTTGTGGATTTTGTGGTTTTGGTGGCCTTTGTAGCTTTCGTGGTTCCCTGGTTTTTGACCCGGCACCCCCGCGGTGATTGAAATCCGGGGCGTCATAGGTTATCACAAGGTGAAGGTGGTGCCCCATACTTAGCTAAGTTGGTTAATAGCTCCAATACGTTGGGTTTATGGTAGATATATCCATTTTAATGGTGATTATAAACCAACATATAGCTGGGGGAGCACCACGCAGGAGCTTTCGTGACAATCCCAATTTAAATGGTTTCGGGGATCCCCAGCATCCCTGGTTTTATCATCTCAATGGCCACTTCAGGTACCGATTTATTGTACCTACCATATATAAGGCCTATGCAAGGCCCATTTTAGGATCCTGAATTTCCCATTGACAATCTTACAAGGTGGTGCCCCCCCCAGTTATAAATTGGTTATAAGGCCATGAATACTAGTTCGATATATCACCAACGAAAACTATAGTTATTGGAGTTATGTTCACCAACTTAGCGTTCTCGAACGGGGGCACCACCGTGTATCTGTATCGGGTTCACAAGAATTTCTGGAAGCGGAGTTTCATGGCTGCCCAGGTTGACCGCCTGACCGATGGTTTACCGACAATGGGCTAGCCCTCACCGGCCCTTTTTTGTTTTGCCAATTCGGTATAACTTCACGAGTAAGCCCCAGTAAAATGTGATAATGTTTAATATATATATATACACACTATATATATATACTACTCTTCATGGCAATATCAATTCCAGGATGTGTAAATTAATGGTCTTCCCATAAAAACCCCATTCGAAGTAGGTTTGTGAAGCTAGCCACAATTGACTACCAGAGTGTACACCATTTTAAGGCACGCACATCTGAGCTACAGAAACAAAGCCACATTTGGGTGTTGCTTCCATATCACCTTTTCCTGAAGTTCCATCTATCTATCTATCTATCTATCTATCTATATATATATATATATTCAATACTGTATATATATATATATACACGTAAAAACAAACATATAAAATCTGCATATCAGCGGGCGCAACAGGTTTTCAATTTGTACCTTTTCTTCGCATCGAGAAACGTTGTTCGTTGTCTTTGGTGAAACGCCAAGGCCAGAGTATCGTATACAGCAACTCGGCTGCAGGGGGTGAACAAACAAGTGTGCAAATCTCTGTACCCTCTGGTAAACTAACATAGCTATTGAAAATGGCCATTTATAGTGGATGTTCCATTAAAAATGGTGATTTTCCATTGCTATGTTAGTTTACCAGAGGGTAATACAGTGTCGCTATAGAAAATCACCCTTCGAAATAGGCACATCATCATGAATCATCGAACTAAATGGGCTGTGGCTTCCATAGCTAGAATCAAGAAGCAAAGGGTATGTGCCATGGTGAGGGGTTGGATCATATAGTCATATACATGTACTATATGTTGGATTTATGGATATATATATATATATCTGGTTGGTGGTTTGGAATCTGGAACATTTTTTATTTTCCATTTCATCTATGAGATAATCCACCAACCATTGACTTTCATAGGTTTCAAAATGGTTGAAACCACCAATCAGATAGTTTTTTATGGCCATCAGTTCACTGAGTATAGCTGATTTATATGGATTTATGTATGGATTTATAATGATTTATAGTCATATACACGTACTATATTTTGGATTTAAATGGATTTATAATGATTTATATATAATAGATATATATATATATATATATTTATCCCCCGGTATGAGGATGTCCAATCATTTTTTTAATGGCCATGACTCTTTTTCCGCGTGACCATGGCACAGGATGTGGACCCCCAGTATTCCCATGATTTCTTTGGGGGGTTACCTCCAGTAAACTAAGATGGCTAAGGAAAATAACTATGTTTAATGGGAAAATCAACTATTTCGACTGGGCCATTTTCAATAGCTATTTTGACATAACCAGAGGGTATCTCCATTTTAGTTAGTTAAATCCCATTACATAGCTAGTAAACTATGAAATCACTACATGGATATATATACTAACATTAATAAACTAATGGCCTTTCATAGGATATACGAACTATAAATGACCATTTTCAACAGCTATTATGTTAGTCATTACCAGACTTGGTGCTTTGTCGGCATTGTTTTCCCTACAAACGTGGCCATACATTTTGGGAAAATCCACCATTTCTTGGCACAAACCCTGGATAGAAATGTTTGAATTCATCAACAAACACATATGTAAAACAGCTACTATAGACAATCACTGGTTGGTGGCTTGGAACATTTTTTATTTTGCCATATATTGGGAATAATCATCCCAACTGACTAATATTTTTCAGAGGGGTTGAAACCACCAACCCGATCACTATATGCCTATGCAATACATAAATCATCTATCGCAATGGGCCATTTTCCATAGTTATGTTCAATTACCGGAGGGTATGAAAAACGCTGAGCCCCCTTCGATACCGGTGTCACTCGCAACGGATCGAAAAGATGACTTGTGAACTTGGTGCTTCATCCCACTTAAAAAAATAGTTACGTGGGTTAGTTAATCTTAGTTATAAGATAATATAAGATGTCATAGCGGCTGATGCACGCTTGCAAGGACCAAGCACGATTCGTTTTTTGCATATGCAAAGTGTCAAAGTGTCAAAAAGATATACCCTCTGGTAAACTAACAGATTGCGAACTGGAACATCACCATCATTAAGTTCGGTAAATCAACTTTTTCTATGTGCCATTGTCCAGTTCGCAAACTGTTAATTTACCAGAGGGTAAGTAGAGTTCATCCACCTTTCTCTAATCGTTTTGACAAAGGTCATGGGATTTCCACGGCACCTTCAGGTCATGGAAATTCACGGCGGAAACACGTGGTGGCTGTTTTCCTCTATACGTTTACCCGTTTGAGAAAAGTCCTTTACCCGTTTTTTTTTTTATAGTTATTTCTATATGCATGGTAAAGGAATTATTGGGTAAACGTTAATATAGATGGGGTAACTATAGGAGTGCCATCATATATAATATATGTTTAGTTATTTTTATGGATTATCATTCCACACATATCATAAATGGGGTAACTTACTGACTTCTAATTGGTAGGGCCACACGTTGCGGGCCATCCCTATCAATCCAGCCACACCTCCCCGGTGTCACGTTACCGGTTTATCTGGTAACCCAACAAGGCGATGTAACTTCACAGCACCATCGTTGAATTCATAGGTAAAGCGTTTCTAGAAATTGTTTTGTTTTAAAAAAAACTGGTTGGTGCTTGGATTATAACCATAATGACCATAATAACATCTGAAGTGATGGTGCCTGTCTATGAGCCAAGGGTTTTGGTTGCTACGAGTTGCTTGGGTGAACTCTTGCGCGCCAGCGTTGCCAGATCAAGCACATTTATAAACAAGTCCGTTCGTTTCTTTTCTCTTCTCTCCGTTCCCATCCCTTCTATTGCTTTTTCTTTTATCTCTTTCTTTCTTCTCTGTTTTCACCCTTTTCTTTCGCTGTTTCTTTGTTTTCTTTCCTTCGTGGTTGCAAAAAGGTTGCTACTCACAAGAGGACAAAAAAGGGCTTGGCGTGCTTGTTTTTCTTTTCTCTAGGTTACCAAAAAAAAGCTCAGCGCTTACAGAGCCTGCAGCATGAGACTTTGGAGTGTTGACAAGCAAAAGAGCTTGCTGCATGGTTCACGAGCAATGCTAATCTTAGTTGACAGTGCGAGCGTGGGTGTTATTGCATGTTAAGGTCATGGTGCTGCCTGCGTGAACCGGACATTGCTTGTAGTCCGCGTGTTCTAGCGACTTCTGTGCTTGACATTGATTGTGCTTGTTATTCCTTTCTTTGTTGTGCTGATGACGACCCTGTCTACAGCGGTGCGCTTGTGCTGTCCTTGTCAAGTCGCTCCATCAATGCTCCTGTGGTTATCAAGGAATGGGAAAGCATGCTGTCACGACTCGAGCAACTTGCCCAAGATATTCGCAAAGAGGCGCGATGTCAACCTTTGCTGCATTATGTGACATATCGGAAAATGTGTCTAATGAGGATGTGCTATGTACAAACGAGGGCCCTGATCGGGTGACAAAGGTTTGCAAAATGTAAAAGCCCTTTTTCTTTTCTGTCAACATGCAAGTGATCTTCAACAGGTTTATACACTTCCAGCCAAAAATATTGAGATTCCGTGCGTATTTATTGCTGATTTTGGTCAAATAAATGCGAGCTTTTTTTCTAAGCAGGACATGTGTCTTTCGGAGACTGATACGGACATGCCTGAAATTGCCACAAATGAGGCGCGCGTGATGTCAACTAAAAACGAAGCCTGCAATGATCAGCTCTTACCAGGTTCCTTTAAAAAAAAAGAAGAAGTGTGGATTACCCGCCGCCTTTGAATGCTGGCGCGCGGGGAAACAAAACCGGCGACCGCCCCGGCGCCCGGTGATGATCAGGCACGTCATGCTGCTGCCAAAGTTGAAAGCAGCCAAGGCTGCTGGTTGAGCCCAAAAATCAGCCGCTCCTTTGCACAACAGCCAGCAAAATTCACGTTCATGGATGGCCCAGGTGCCCGGCTAAGCAAATTACCACTCATGACCTAACATTATCTTATTATTCTTTTTCTTCTGATGATAAGTAGAAAAATGTAGTGCAAGCAAATCTCCCTTTGCATTGACGGTGCCCGTCTACAAGCCAAAAGCTTTGGTTGCCGCCGGTAGCTTGGGTGAACTCTTGCGCACCATTGTTGTCAGATCATGCAAATTTCTGATCAAATCCTCTCTCTCTGTTTTTCTTCTCTCTCTAATCCCTTCCCTTCAAATCATTTTCAGTTCTTTCCTTTTATTTCCATTCTTTTTGTTTTCTTTCTTCTCTTACATTTATGTAATCAGTGTCTTCCTTTCTTTCTTTCCTTTCTGCCTTGTTTTCTTTCTTTCTTGGTTACAAAAAAGGTTGCTACTCACCCAACTACAACAATAAGCGTCGCGAGCTTGTTTGTTGTTCTCCCTTGATGATTACCAAAAGGTTACCGCTTACAGATCCTGCAGCACAAGACCCTGTTGACGGTCGACGTCGCAAGTTTCGCGATGCGCATGTTTAATCGCTGGGGCCTTGCCAGGTTGTCGCATTTTATCCTGCTGGAGTAGAAAGCAGGTGCGGTAGGCGGAGTAGGAGGCAGGTGCAGCAGGTGTCGTAGGTGCAGTAGGAGGCAGGTGCAGCAGGTGCCATAGGTGCAGTAGGAGGCACGTGCAGCAGGTGCCCTAGGTGTAGAAGATGCGCTCTCTGAGGCGTTGTTGGCAAGTGTTGGCTGTTTTCTTTGTTGCCTTTGTGCTGAAAGAAGAAGGGATCAGCAGCACGACGACGAAACATTATATGAAATTGGAAAACAAAAAACAAGAAGCAGTCAGCTCAGCCTCCAGCCTTCAGCTGGTGCGGCAAGCGCAACATGTGATCCAGGTGTTGTAGAAGACAGGTGCCGCAGGCGCAGTACGGAGCAAGTGCCGCAGGTGCAGTAGGAGACAGGTGCAGCAGGTGCCGTAGGTGCAATAAGAGGCAACAGGTGCCGTAGGTGCAGTAGGAGGCAGGTGCAGCAGGTGCCCTGGGTGCAGTAGGAGGCAACAGAAAGCAGGTGCCGGAACATCGGTGTCATGACGTTTGAACGTCATGTTGTAGAACTAGCTTTGCAGTGTTTATGCCACATGTGATTGTTTGTTTCTCGCTATCGGCTTGATTTGTTGCTTTTTTTAATGTCTGGTCTGATATCAGCTTGAGGTGAATTTTGTTTCATTTTCTTGTTGTTAAAAATTAGCCCTCGGCGCTCGCCTTGGTGCGTTTTTTCTTTAATCGAAGGAAGTTTAGAAGTCAAACTTCCGGCAATATGGAGAGATGAAAAAGCAGTCAGCAGGGAGAAGAGTCAGGAGAGAAAAGATCTGAAGAAAGAAGATGCAGGTGCGCGAAAAGGTAGGAAAGTCGCGAAACACTGCGTTTTTTCGTGGTTTTGTGGCTCCGGAGGGTTGAAAAGTAGGCTCGCTAAAGCGGCGGGTGCGGAGACATCTGGGGAGATGGGAGATGAAAAGTTGCACGCCGTTGCGGCCCGAAGCCGATTTCGAAGTGAAAAGGTACAAAACACCTCAGCGCCGGACCACTTTTGGAAGTTGAGATGTTGAAAAAGTGCACGGCGTTGTG